TCAGATTTTAATACTTATCTAACAAATCCAAATTACGTCACAGATCAGATGAGTTTTATTTAATTTATGTTACGTTATATTCGTCTAGGTTAACCATAGTGTATTAAATTTGAATTTAACGACGAGTTTGAGGCTATGTGTGAGATGAAGAGTTAAGAATAACCATCTTATTCTTAAGAAAAACTTCTCACATTCATTAACCTACTTAAATTCGTGTTAATAATTATATAGTTATATTAATTATTTCAGCTGCATAATAGCCTGACATTTTAACACGAATATGTCTGTCTTCTGGGATGTTTCGCCGTGTAGTCTGGTAGATATTTATCGACGTTTCAGAGGTTTTATTAATCATCTAAGTACCTCGTTTCTTTGTCTGTCTATTTGTAGAATTAAAACGTCAATACGGTACATTAATATTTATGAACTGTTGTGTTCTTCCAATGAGAAGAATGTGGTACTCGCTGAATTTGCTATGACAGCACACCAACATGGGTAGAATCACGATTCTCAGTTACAAAATCTAAGTAAGTTAAGTATAAAGCAGTAAATATATCTGCTTTGTACAAGACTATTCGATATGCTAACGTATGACAAGACACAGATTAAGGAATTCTGTTTATATTTCTTTAGACAAGTGAAGAATGTTAAATGATATGTTCGAAACGATGTAATACAGAGAGTCATCTCCACTCTCTGACACTTATATATAACATTCTGAATAAATATGCATGTAAGCTAATATATGGATTTTGGCGCCACCTTGAAGACGAACATTTAACAGCTGTGCCGCCATTCTTCCTTCGAATTCAAAAATCGTCACCACAGCTGCTATGTTGTCAGTACGTGCATGTTCTTAATCACTGTTCCTTGCAAGTGCAGACGCGTGACAATTTCGTTATAACCGAAATTATTACTAACAACGACGGCTTCTGTTCATCTTATGTTCCCAACGGTAAACAAATCTGCGAGTATACAGACCGTTCTAAAAACATTTATTTATTCTAATATCTATACTCATGTCCTTATCCTCTGTTAAGAAAAGTGACGCACTCAACGAGATCTGACAATTATCATTTTGTTTTGAGACACGTTTTGACGTATTTAACGTCGTCCAGACCATGTGACATAGACAGGACCTATTTAAACTGACTTACAGATGTGTTTGAGGAAATTTTCCAGGATTCGATAGGTTAGGTCCGGTCGACCAAGAGACGTTTACATTTCACTGCAAACGAATAAACCCTCTCGTCATTAAATTCTTTACTCGAGCGTATGTTATTTTACGAATAACGTCACAACCTTATCTCTAACTATGATTCCCTTCCCCTGATTACTTCTGTTGCCAAAAAATCATGAAAATTTCAATATTTGTGCCTTATTAGTGTAAGGTTTTCACGACGGTGAGTTTAAAGATGACTTGTCTTTTGGGCTGTAGCGCCGAGTAGTGTGGTAGAAGTTTACAGATGTTTCAAAGGCCCTTACTGCCTCCATCATCACGGCCCAACAATCCAGAAGACGCCATTTTCATCTGCATTAAGCATGTTGTGAAACGACATCGATAATTAATGAAAGTAGCATTATACGTGTGTAAAATTGCTATGATGTCATGTTACAGACGAATTTGCATGTTCACTAACAGTAGTGTTATTATAACAGAAAAAGGTTAAATCCTTTAAAATCCTTACTGCAGTTTATGAACATCTGTAACAGCAGACAAGACCACCTTTTTCTATTGTAATATGTTTCGTGGCATATTTTATTCAGCACTACATTATTTTGGAGGAGAGAATTCATGGCATGTTTTTCAGTAACTTACGCAACTTTTATAAAATGTAGGTCCACTACATAAAACCGAAAAATTTTGATAAATTTTTCTGAAAATTTAAGGGGGTTGTGAAGTTATTTGAAAGATGGAAAAGCCTCCCTCTCAGACTTAGAATCGATTACTCGAATTGAAAGAAAGTAGTAATTCCTTTCCGCGGTTCAATAAAACCATCCTGCGCTATTATGATCCGATATGTACGCAGGACTGAATAAAAAAGAAAACTTCCGTGGTCCTTCCGATCCACGTTTCCATGGCGACAAGCTGTTGTGTAGGCCGAGGGCAAGAAGAACATACAAGTATAGCAGATACTATCCTTGTTTAACTTATCACATGGAACAGGGTACATCCTAAAGACCTAGATACCAAAGTTTGAAGGTTTCTAACGATGGTACGACATATTGTATAAAGTTATTTTTGGACCTCATACATTGTCTAGGTTTATTAAACGCATACAGGATTTTGGAAGTCGATTAAACTTGTGTCTTAAGGTGAACTTAAGTCAAAATCCTAATCTGTTCGGTCCCCTGGTCGAACTAGTCTCAAATCCAGTCCAATAACAATTCTATAAGTAAGTAAATTAAAGATATACTTAGCTAATCAAGAAACTGTAAGCCTTTAACATAACGCAAACGTTCATTACCTTGTTTGCAAGAATCCGCAATCGGCCCCTATCCTGAAACACAAAAAATCAGTTAATACCTTTCGTGTTTCCTTTATGTTTTTCGTGATTTAATCTAACAAATTAACGCCATTAGTACAGACCAGAAGCCGAAATGTCGCATTCAATTTCAGTCCTAGTTTCCTTGGGCCTGCCTAATGGCGTGTTCTAAAGCAGCGTTTCTCAACCTATGATACGCGTACCACTGTTGGTAAGCGAAATACGTAAGAAAATAAAATATACTATTAACATAAATAACTTTTCCCTAAACGAATTTGGTTAGTGGTACATTTAAGGTGTACGTCAGAGAATAGGTTGAGAACCCCTGCTCTAAAGCACCTTTTAACTTTATGGACTATAATATAGGATCTTTAAAACACTTTAATTAACCTAAATAATTTCACAAATATATCGAATTTATGGGGTCCGCGGTGGCCGCGAGGGTCTGAGGCCTGGGCCTTGTTCCGCATGGTCGCTGGGACCGTGGGTTCGAATCCCACTCCGCAGTTTTCTATTGTGCTGTTCTGTGTACAGGTAGAGGCCTTGCGACGGGCAGATCCCTCATCCAAGGAGTCCTACCAAAATGTCTATAGATCGAGCCAACGAAAAGTTGGGACCCGCAGTGCTCAGGCACTTGGAGAACGGGTCGTTCCCAGTATCCCCCAGTATATTGAATTTAGAGTGTCGTCTAATACTTCTTTCCTATCCGAATCGTTGGCTGTCTTGAAGCAGCATCAGTATTGCAACTAAGTAAAGAACTCAACCGTACGTGGCCTTCAAAACGTACAGTTCCTAAATTGGCTAAGAAATACATGGCGAAACATCCCAGAAGGCAACCATCTTCATACTCGCCGCCGTCAGATCCTTATATCTCAACGAGAAATATTACTTTCCATGAACCCATAGGTTCAAAATCCCACCACTGGATACAAACCTGAGCTGGGTGTAATTCACATCATCATATACTATTTCGTCAAAATCTATTCTGATACAACCCTTCCATCTACGCATTGGTTTTTCAAGAAGACCTCTGAGCTTTTCGCATTTCATAAGTGTCTGCATTACTCACCCCGTACATACTAAATTCCCAGCCCATATTATTGCTTTATATTTAATTACCATACCCAACTTCCTAACGCCTCCTTTCCGATTTTATCTTTATCTCCATCCAGATAAACGGACTCAGGAATTCCGGGGAAAAACTCTGAAAAGAACTCAGTACACCTAATTAACAGCTGATACAGTAATCAAGATATATGGTAGGATTTTGTGTTAATAGTCGAACGTATTTGAAATAGGTCTAAGCCTATGTTGTGGGATTTTCGAAACTACTGTAACCAAATTATCAAATTATGACTGTATCTATGTGAATTAAATATGTTTCTTCCTTCATAACAGGCTACGTTTTCAGGAGGAATGAGGGACAGACGGCCAAGTTCCAGGCGGGAGGGGGGGGTGCGTTCATTAATCATAATTTGGACAGCAGAGTAAACAAAGGCAAAGTGAGTTGTGTGGAAGAGAGGTTAATGAAATCGCACTCATTCTCTGTACATAATGTTGTAGTCACATTAGCTAGGTCATTTCCTGAGGGTGACTGGCGATGACTGATTATTGTGTATTGTTCTCATAACATACAGTTTATGTGATTATGTGTATCATCTCACCCAAAACACATGCAACTTATCGAATGATTTACACAGCTAATAAAAGAACAGCCAGTTCTATATGCCATCTTTTATATTTTGATTAGTAGCTGGATCTGAGGTTCTATAAAAGGCAGGGAATTTCTAGAAAAGCTGACTAGCTTCATAAAAAGAACTATGTTCCCTATTCTTAGTTAGGCCTATGTTTAGAATATCTACAAATTAGTTGTGTTTTAGACCACTGAAAAAGACCATAGAAAATTTTCCTCCGATTTATAGCGAAAACATTTCATTAACTTTAAATGATTTCGTCATATTGTCGGTAATTAGGTCTGCTTAATTTCATTCTTAACATAATCAAGCCACGAACTTACGTCTAAAAATTTATTCGGAAATAAAATTGTTTAATCTCGTCCTTGCTGTCTCTTCGTTTCAAGTTCCATATTATTTTCCAATTGCGGCATCTTGGGAACATAGCAGTGAATGTTCGGGTTCCATAATATACACAGATCCAAAGGCTGAACGATTTTTACGTTTTCAAGAAAGATTTTATTCCATGAAGTTAGTTTATGATCTCGCCCCCATCCTTAATGCACGATTCACACTATCTGTATCGAATTCATGACCGTAATAACATTTAGTGAAGAGTGACTCCCCTCATTACGTAATAATTTTGTTTACCATCCACACATTTCGTCTGGCGCAGAGAGACCTTAAAATGATATTTCTCTGCAGTTTGCTATGGGATACAACATTACCGCTACTTTATTTATGTTACACCTACAAAATACATAGTACGGTGATACCGGCGTGGTAATGAATACTGAGTCAGATTTCGATACATCGTATTAATTTGCCCATTCTCTTTCAGAAAAGTTTGTGGAGACGACAACAACCTCTTCTTCAGTGGCTAGTAGCTCTCCTGAACCGACGACTCCACGAGCAAGTAAAGAAGACGAGTTAGAGGACGAAGATCGTGAGAGTCCCCCTGAGATCTCGTCGTCTACGTCAGACTGCAGTGCGGGACACTCGGGGAGCCGCGGCGGTAAGAAGTCACCTCCGTCTTCGCCGTCACCACCGAAGAATCCACTCTTACAGGAACGCTTCAACTCCGAGGAACTGCGACACGTGGTTTGCCATCTCGAGACCAAGGACTTGTGGGACAAGTTCAACGATCTGGGGACGGAGATGATCATCACTAAGTCGGGAAGGTGAGTTCATTCCACGGCGGTAACATTTCAAACCGTTCACGTGCTAAGTAGAAATAACAAATCAGCTCCATGCAGCTTCATCCTTCATGAGAAACTGAAAGTTGCTTAATTAATCAAGAAAATACCGACCTTTTGTAGAACCAGACGATTCATTACCACGTTTACAAGTGGTCGTCACTGGACCCTGTTCTCAGTCAAGAAACCAGTCTGCTGCATCACAACTTAATTTTCAACTGCGATCAATTGATCAACGCCTTGAGCTGTCAAGTATTATCTTCTGTATATATTTTCCATCTATCCCTTACGTGCTGTATACACCGCCCATCTCATTTTCCTGATTTAACCACTAATAATAATTGGTTAAGGGCATAAAATATGAAGCTACTCATGATGCAATATTCTCCGACGTCCAACTTTTAGACCCACATAAGAAACTCTTTAATTTCTTCATAAATGTAATAATAATTCTGAAACTTTCGTTAATTTATACGGTGTTTAAGATTAGTAAAGCGACTAGTAATGTATCAGTCGTTAGAAGTAGACATTTGTTGTTTTATAATTTATTATACTTTACCACGGAAATATGCCATAAGAAGAAGATGTCTCGAAACTAATATCAGAACGGAAAGTGTTGCACGGCGAACTTTTAAATAAGTCTGCGAGTTTTGTGAGAAACTGATTTCTCGTTCAACTTGCACGTCTAAGTTCACTCATATTGAAGGTTTAAATTAAAATATTTGAAGGACAAAGTCTGTATAATATACATTTAAAATTTTTGTTTATTATATCTCAATTTCGTTATAAATATTAGTTTTAAATGAATCTTTATTCTACTTATTCATATTGGCTATCATTTATCTTCCAGTCGAAACGTTGTCTTCATTGTGACAAATAAATGTTATGATCTAAACAGTAACATTTAAGAAATTAATAAGGACTTTTAACTCTTAAACAAAAGAAATCTCTAAATTCACTTAGTGGATGTTATAGCGACTCGGCGAAACACTAATTCTCGGGGACCTGGAGTACTTAAATTGTTAACCAGCCCAGCTACACAATTGGAACGCTTAAGTCAAATCGCAGTAGAAAAGAAAATTAGACACATCAATATTTCTTGTACTCTTCATTCCTTCACAAATTAGACTGTTTAATGACCGTACAGCCATTAAAATTCTCTTTAAGGTGTGTGGTTCTTCGTCCTACAAGTTATGATTTCGTGCCATGTTTGGTAATAAAATTTTCCGCCGCTCCATCTACACAACTTTACGTCGTCCTGTATGAAGCCATTTATTCAGTAAGGCCTACGGCCTGTTACTGACATTAACTTTCATAAGCATTTCAGGAGGCTGATTTGTATAGGGCCGAATGATGGATATCCATTTGCCATTTTCTACTGGCTGTCCTTATCGAATTTTAATTTGTCCATGCAACAAAATATTTATGTTTATGTAAGCCTACAGTAGTTTAACACTTTTTTGAGTAATATTCTACGCAGTCAAAATATGTAGCCTGTTCGTGGAGATTACATTTCGAAAGTGCACATAAATAATTTCTTTTTGGAACTAAAACTTATCTGCCTCTATCACTTTAAGAATCTTACACCGTTTCTGCCTCAAATTTGCTAGAAATAACTTTACAAATTGACTCACAGGTAAGAACGGAATTTGCTCTTGCATTTAGGCCAATTTGGTGTAAGGACCAAGGAGGTAATGCGTTTAATAAACTACCTCTGAAGCGTTATCTACGCACACATGTGTAAACATTTGTTTATTGTTTAATTTTCATCTGAACTGGAGACGATTATATTTTCTATTTATACACCACAGTTAATTTCCCATAAAATTTGGAGTAAAACAAAGAACGTGAATAGAAAAATAAAGTTGTTTAATAAATAAAATAAGCCACTCTCAAACGATTTTAACTGACAGCACCACACACTAAATTTATAATCGTGAACTGTGTCATATTTAGATTATGTTTTATCTAATCTTGTATTATGAACACGGGAACGCTATTTGCAGGCTCTAAGTATGAATTAACTGAACCTTTTAAAGCACAGTGTATACCATCTCCTTTAACTAACAATAAAACAGTATTTTGTATATATTGATTTAGTATGATTCTCTCCTACTCATTCTTAACCCCCATCTAGTGCCGAGGTCATGAATGAGTAGGAGCTATACCACCTCCCCCCCCAAGCGCCTACATGGCGTATAGTGGGAAAGCCTTACTTTACTTTACTTCTAGTAAAACATTATTTTTTTAAACAGCATTAACTAGTTGATCTTTGTAATGGAGAAATGTTAAGTTTTCTTTGCGGTACGGGCTGAAGGCATTCTTGAATATTATTTGGACGAGGCTCGGCTTCAAACAATTAAGAAGTTAATACTCGCCCAGCTAATGTAGCAGTTCCGGGTCTGATACGGGACTCGAGGGTTCATCATCGCATTATCATGATCACGAAGTTTTGACACCGGCCCCTGTCCTGAGCCAGATGCATCCACTCCACACCCTCTGACCGTGTTTCCTCCTACCGACGATTAGGTCTTATGACTGACCTATTTCCAGTTCGGCTTCTCCAACCATAATTTTTTCTCACTTATCCCCTCAATGCATTCTACATGTCCCGCCAACCTCATCATCTTTGATTTTATCAACCTAATAATAGCCTATTTGTTGACTTTCCTCCTTAGGTCTTACGACTGGCCTATTTCCATTTCGGCTTTCCAAACCATAATTTTTTCTCACTTATGCCCTCAATGCATTCTACATGTCACGCCAACCTCATCATCTTTGATTTAATCAACCTAATAATAGCCTATTTGTTGATGAGCACATATTATAGGCCTACTCAATATGCATTTTAATGTAGATTCTGTTTTTATGGTAATATATTTACTCATTATTTTAACACATTCAGCATAAACGAAAAATTGGTTTGTCCCAAACTTATATTTTAAATGGATGAAAAAACATAAAACAACTATTTATATTCTGAGAATAGCCAAGTGCTGTTTCAGATAGCAAATATCACAATTGTTTAAATTTATGTCCATGTGATTTGGCGTTAAATTTAAACGCACAACTTTGCTAGTTTAAAATAATAATTTACAATAACAAATTAACCATTACATTTTAATTATTGAGGATATACCCGTGTTCTGAGGGATATTTACTGCGAAATTTCCGGAGATTTGCCTTTTTATCGTCTTCAGATTATCATTATTCTACTGGCAGATATTTATATTTTATATTTTGAATATTTGAGATACGTAGTGACAGGCATAAGAAGAGGATTATTCTAAGGGCTCTGAGTTCAATTCCGACCACAACTATTAATATAATAAATAAGAATAAGCTAATCAAAAGGTACAGACACAATCACCCGAAGACGGAAGTGGAGATAACTGTCGAAACATAAAGGCTTATATACCTCGGACTTGGCTAGTATCCAAAATAGTATCCTAGAAAATCTTAGCCAAACAACGAAGATACTAACAGGCTAACAACTTTAAAGGCCTACACCAGCGTTCACAGACTGGCATTTGATTCTAGCGTCACGTTCTGTGATGTGTTTGGTGCAACTGATCGACTGGGACTATTCTTTAGGTTTTGCTTTGAGTACAGATATTTAGAGAGAATATTCCAGGTATAAAACTATGAATATTTCAATCGGTCAAATCTGAAATTTGTTTTGGAGAAGAAATATAATATAAATCGATCATTGCGATTTCTACTTCAGTTTCAGCAGCAATGGCTTTTGATCTGACACGTTGAGTCGAAATGTTCATAGGTCTCCGTGGTAGCAGAATAGTAATAAATACTTTATAAGTATATTTTTCTGAGCTAGAGTGTATATAGCACGTGTCAACGCCAAACACAAACCCGTACTAAAAATTTTATTTGGATGTCTGTAACACGATTGCTGGTAAAATTTAACCAATACGTACCACCTAAACGGCTTATAAGAGCCGAAAGACGTAATTCTTATAGACAAAGCTATTTTATAGCGTGAGTTAGAGGTTGTTCTATGTTATTGTTAACCAGTCACCAAACTGTAGTATGCAGTACTAGACAACAAGGATTTCTTATTGGTTGTTGGGAACAATTTTAACGATTTCGTGTGTACATAAAACTATTACGATTGTAGATTGTCTCACTGATTCGGATTTCAATGGCCAATCTCGAGGCAACAACCAATGGCGATGCAAAGTTTCATAACGGACAATCGTCTGAACACTGTTGACTTCATTTCACAAGACTCTGTGATCTACTTGTCTTTCGATTTTATCGACATTTTATGCTGACGTTTTGTAAAAAAAAAATAATATACGCGTGATATAGCGGGCACGTGTTTCCTTCCGTCGGCAATGCATCTTTCATCTCTACACCTAATTGTAAAATTTGGTACTGAAGGTCTGCGCATAAAATTTCTTCAGCTAATTTAATTTGGTTAGTATCGGTCCAATTTAATTTAAGAAATAAAATTTTACTGATTTCCTTAAATAAAATTTAATCTTACAAATAATTGACAGGCCTACATGAAATGGCATAGAATATATAATATAATAATATCTTCAAGTATTATTTAACAGACTAGACATGTACACGGTTACAATGTTGAGGCCAAAAAAGGTCATTTATTGATTTGATTTTCTGTACAGATTAAGAATAAGAACATAACTTACAACTACAACTTAATGTCTAGCTCTTTGTATTGTGATTAATTTAAAACAAAATTTATATTTGTTTGTTTAATCACTAGAAAATTCCTATTAAATATTAAAATATTACTATAATTAACATTTAAATATTAAAATATATTAAATGATGTTCTCTATCGAAATGTTCGATTTACATTTGATCATCACTTTTTTACACGACATGTTTCAGTTCTAAAAGAACTATCTTCAGGTGTATAAAATTATATAAACTTAAATATAATTTCTTAAATGCAACTTTTAGTCAGATGTTTATCAGATTTCAAACAGTTTACCGAC